TTCACTTTTTTCTTTTAACGACAAAGTAATTATTAAAAAAATATGGATAATTATCCTTTTATAACAAAAATCACGTATTACGTACAAATCAGAACCTTGATCTTCTTCTTTTTCATCCATAAATGTCTAACAAACGGATATGACTTTAAATTGGTACCGAAAATGTTTCAGTAGACATAACCTCCTAACCAAAAAGCTCTGGTCTACTCCGTAGTCTGTACAGACTAATTCTACAATTAAATCATGAAACCAAAAGACTATCCTAAAGTTCCAATCATCATTCAAGAAAGGCTTCGAAATCAAATGGGATTGTCGTAGTATTGTCTTGACCAGACATGGGACAAACTGGACCGGTCAGGGTTTCATGAGCCAGGCTTCAATCTCCGACAGGCTTTTTCCTGAATGTTGTTGTTGTAGTTGCAGGTTCACCGGACGATTTGGCATCTGAGAGGGAACTGTTGCATTTGTCTGAACATTTCCAGAATACATATTCTGCCCATAATGTCTGGCGTACACTATGTTGTGAGATTCTGGCACGGTTGGGATATAACTGGGAACGACAGCAGCGCAAGGTGCGTAACCAGTATATTGCGAGCCTTGAGCAATGCTATGTATATTGTTTCCTGGGCGAATAACGCCTCCACTTGGTGTTTGAGTCCACGTGAATGGATTGGAAGAGACCACTTGGGGACTATGGTTACCGTTATAAGAGCCGCCTCTGTGATTCTGGTATGACTGACCACCACGAGGTTGTAACCCGGGATTTTGGGGAAAGGTTCTTGGTAGCTCAGCTCTATAACCAGGACTGATGTATGTGTTTGGGTGAGTCGCAACACTAATCGATGCCGAGCAAGCCCGGATTCCTAACTGAGTTGCAGGTAAAGAAGAGTTATGGGGCAACTGTATAGATCCAAACTGAGTTACAGGGGAAGAAGAGTATTGGGGCAACGGAATAGATTGAGGCCGTGGAACCCGTTGAGATTGGACTATGGTTGAAGCAGGTTTTGAAACAGGTCCGGGAAGTATCTTTCCGTGGGGCAGCGGAATAGATTGAGGCAGTGAAACCCGTTGAGATTGGACTATGGTCGAAGCAGGTCCGGGAAGTATCTTTCCGGTCCTGATGCATGCACGTTGATTCTTCCATAACTCTTCTTTATCATTGGCATGACAGTGATCAATGTAGGAATAACCCATGAACCAGTAAGCACAGGGAGCACGGGTGTCACAAACATAACAGTGACACTGTTAAAACAAGCAAAACCATTAAAAGAATTTAGCAAGATAAGCAACATCACTTGAGCTTTTTCAAAAGATACAACTGCACATTCTCACCATCTCACAGTAGCTCTCGTGTGATGTGGAGTTAAACGGGTACTTAGCGCAGGCATGTCGCGAATGCGGGTAATCCCTACAAGCTATCTACAAAACAAATAACTTCCCTTAGAGATGGAAAACAGAGCAAAAAACAATTCGATGATTTCATTCTATACATTTACAAGAAACTTCGAATCAAATCCTATACTGGGTCGCTTCGTATTAGAAACTAAATTTTTCTCTCTGCAAGAGAAGAACAACAATTCCTACAACAAACAGTTCCAAGGTTTAAAGTTCCTCTACTCGTAAGCGATTCTGGGTAAGGATTGCAAAAGTAATGAGAAGAACAAATGGACAATTCTTACCTCACCCTTTTGCCCTACGACAAGCACATCATCGGTTTCACAAGTATCAATTGCATTCTCCTTCGCCGTCATCTTGTAAGGATCACAATCCAAGACCACACAATCGTCGTCCTCCACCGTTGGATCCGACTTGGGATGATGATGCCCAATGTTCTTGGGTTTCTCATCGGAGGTTTCCAAAAATCCATCTCGTTTATCATCCTCCTCGTCTGAACTAAGATAAACGATATCATTCATCGGAATTTCGAACAGAGTGTTTTCTTCTTCGAATAAAGGGTAAAATTCAAAGTAGAAGAGATAAATTAGAATGCATGTTGCATGAGAGAACGCATCAACTAACTCGAATCAAGGATTTAGAGGGATTCGATTCCTTCAAAATCAGCAGATTTTCCCGGATATTTTGCTTCACGGAGGAGAATCGTTAAGTTAGTAGGCGCCGATATAGAAGAAACTGAATTAGCCAATTAGGGTTTCAGAATCGGAGAAGAAGAAAACAATCTTTTAAAAAACAAAACATTTTGGGGTAAATAATATTTTTATTAATTAAGGCCTGGCCCAAATCCAATAAACTAATCTCACTTATCGGATCCCTATAATTCCGTACCGGTTTAAGTACATAGAAGAATCTGAATTAGCCAAGTAGGGTTTAATTGTATCTGTATGATTCTTACGGTAATTAAGAATGTTATTTTTTAAAATTGATTAAAAATTTTAGGCCACCAAAACATAGATGAAAGTTTATGGCTGCATTTATTCAGTTTGATTGGAGTTTTTTTTTAGTTGCTTAAGAGGTGTGGGTTCAAGTTTTTTTAATTTACTTCAACAGTTCAACATTTGTTTTATAATTTTTGTTATCTTTTTTCTTAATAAAATTTTCAACGAATTTAGTTTTCCAAAATTTTCAATTAGGAAACTAAAAAACAAAAAAAAATTTTATATAAATAAATAATATACT